TACCTACCTGACAGATGTCTATAATCACCTACCTGCCTGACAGATGTAACTGAGGTAAAGACAACGAAGTCTATATACACCTACCTGCTTGACAGATGTAATTGATGTAAAGACAACGAATTCTATATACACCTACCTACCTGACAGATGTCTATAATCACCTACCTGCCTGACAGATGTAACTGAGGTAAAGACAACGAAGTCTATATACACCTACCTGCTTGACAGATGTAATTGATGTAAAGACAGCGAAGTCTATATACACCTACCTGCCTGACAGATGTAACTGATGTAAAGACAGCGAAGTCTATATACACCTACCTGCCTGACAGATGTAACTGATGTAAAGACAACGAAGTCTATATACACCTACCTGCCTGACAGATGTAACTGATGTAAAGACAGCGAAGTCTATATACACCTACCTGCCTGACAGATGTAACTGATGTAAAGACAACGAAGTCTATATACACCTACCTGCCTGACAGATGTTACTGATGTTAAGAAATTAATTCCATCTTTGTATAACAATACCCATTATAGGAAAGTTTAGTTTGTATTAAGGATGTGATTTCTTTTCATTGTAGAAAGAGAAAATTATTGATATTTTTACATAACTAAGCCTATGTTGGTTAGTCTTTCTTCATAATTGGTATTAATGTATTAGCATCTTTGCTGCTGATTTATCAATAAGATATCAAGTGTTTTTTAACCTATACCACTTGCCAATACGTTTATTGCTTGTGTGTTACTAGTTGACCTGATTATGCGAAATGTAATCATTTTCTTAACGTCATTTCAAGGGTTACATTCACTGTTGCTCTCTACACCCCTTAAATAGTTCATGTCAAAATTGAAGGCTCTATGTGCAACAGACTGTGGATAAAACGAAAAGACCAGTTTAATATTTGACGTACGTCTAAGGAATCTCTAGTTCGCATAATGGTATATTATACTTGGTTTGAAGTTGTATGTAGCTCCTTTGTAATCTTTAAAAGGAGCGTATCAGTCCATGATTGGTCAATTTTCCCCTCTTTGTGCTTTCAAATTTGTCAACGATGCAGAGAGCGAAAGTGATCGAGATAATTTTCATATTATTCTTAGCCAATCAAATATTATTACCAGCATTAAGATAGTGGAATGATATTGAATAGTCCTACTTTACTAACGAATGTTTTTTGTATCTGCATATGACATGTTTACAAAGTGTGCAGACCAAGAGGACTTGCTCACATTGGTACGTTATTACAATAATGTATGCCCATCTGCTGTATATCTATGTGTAATTATCGTATATAATGACTAAAAAAGTATTTTGAAAGTCCGGGAAAGAAGCTACTTTTTACATTTATTTCTTTTACAGTATTGAAAGCTTTTCCCGATGAAAGATAATCCTGTATTTAGGCTTTACTATGGTGTATGTATATGTTTTCATGTTCATTTCTCTAATTGCCATGTCGTAACATTCCTGTAAATATTGTCCATTTGGGACAAACAAAAAAGAAGGATAGACACCGAGACTCCTGAAAAAGTATAAGGAGAAAAAGGGTAGGTGTTCCGGAAGAGTAAGTGTCTTCGGTTTCATCGCAGACATCCGCCGTGTAAATGAGTAAAGTCACGTTTCCAAATGAGAACAATTTATATAACCATCAAAGGTGCCATTCCCATCATGACATTGGTATATTTGTATAAAGGACACAAAGATTACAGTCTATAGAAAAAAGAAATTATTATCATAATCATAACCAAAGTACTTTAGATCGCTTCTCTTGCGTTGTAAACATCTCCAGTTCGTATGTAGCCGATAACCTAACGCTGTCAGTGAAGTAGTCAATGATGGTGCATTTTAAGACGACGTTGATAGTTTACTACTGAATGCTCACTAACTATTCTACACCACCGACTTTGCTGGGAGCAAATATACAATGTTATGGCATACACAGATAAACATTTTCCATGTGCATGTGTACACAGAAATGCTCCGTAACAATTCATTACTTACATGGAATGATGTATCTAGTCACAACTTACATGTTTTGTACAGATAATTCACCAGTTATGATTACGAAACAAAGTGGGCTGCTCATTTAAAGATGCAATTTGCAATTGAAGGCAGCTGTCATGATTTTCTATAAACTATTTATATACGTGTTATACTTCAATGTAAACGTTGCTAATTCGGCATGTAAATGGACAGGTTTTCTTGTTGCCAAGGTTAGGTTTGAACTGCCATGTCGTAATATCTTAAGTTTTTAAAGATATTGCTTTTTGCGGCGATTTATTTTACATCTGGTACCTACTGTTTATATTAGGTAACTGTAAATTTCAAGAGGTACATGTGTTTTGTGGGAAACATTTTTTAAACACCACAAAAAGAAGTAAAATAGCAAAATCAGCAAGAAATTATTGGAAATACATTCTGTTTTTTACTTTCTCTCTTGTCTCATTGCAGAGGTCCAATTGAACGGTGCAGAAAATAATGATGTACTTTAAAGAAATATTGTCAGTGTGAACCCAAAAAAATATTCAAAAAAATGATCAGACAGGCGTTCATACTTTAAAGATTTATTTTATCCTTCCACCAGTGTCCACTTGCCCCCATCGCTCACAAAAACAGTGATGTCAACACATAATTTGTCGGAAATACCACATTCTGTTTTCCTGGCTGTAACTCTAGATTTGCCCAATTTTCAAATCATTCTTCCATTATTTTTACGGTTGCTTGAAGTTACATGTACCAGTGATTTTACCGATGGTTACCAGTGTCACCTAAAGCTCTTAGCTAACTATATTGGAAGCTGGCAGCACTTATCATACACATGTAGAAACTATTAATTCCTCTGAGAATACCATAGTTATCTATGAACATTTAGAGGTTAGGCTCCAGACAAGCATTGTCATTTTTGTTACTACATAAACAATATCATATTCCTAAAAGGTTCTTTCATAGTAGAAAAAGTGAACGAGGCAGTGAGCAATGTGAACCTAAGTAAATCTAAAATAATTAGGGGACTAGATAACCACACGGTGATATATACTTAATACTTGAGAAGTATACTTCTTTGTTAAAAAACAAAAAAATATTTTTGAAAAAATACGTGATAAAAACAGGGGATTGAATCCTGTACATACTATCCTTATTCAAACTAAGAACGTTAAAAGATAAAAAAAGAAAAAAATTCTACATTACTACTCTTAAAGAGTACATAGAAAAATAAGAAAAAGGTTGTTTTTAAAGGATAAGTGTCTTCCTCTTAATTGATTTCATCGGACGCAATTCTACATCAATTCAATTGTTATACGTTATCAAAATAAGAACCGGGTAAATATCAAAGAAAATATCAGATTTAATAATGAACATCGAACATGTCTACATTCATACTGCACAAGCAATCTGAATATTTATTCAAAAAAGAGGATAACGGCGGGCACAAAACTTGTCATTTCATAAACAAGCATCTCACACTTCAGATCAAATGAAGAAGTCTGCGCCTGGTATGGTTTTCTAATTCAAAAGTTTGAAATTGCTTGATTTTCAATTAATTCTAAAATACAAACTACAGTAAACATTATATCTATAAGATAAAAAATACTTTGCTCCTTAAAAGAGGAAGCGGAACTCAATCTCAAACTTAATGTTTTGTGATAAGTTGTGTTTATATTAAATCCTTTGTAACGTTATAACTTATCTCTAAAAGCCAATTGGAAACAATAAAGGCTAATGTCTGTTTACGCCAAGTTTACCGCCGTGCTTGCTTGCATGCTTAACATTGTCTAATAAATAAGAATCATATGTTCTCAAAGTTCACAATTCTAAGACCTATTTAATATTAAGTAGTTTTTATGAAATCAAACATTTTTATGAATAATCTAACTGCTATTTTGAAGGCTTTGGAGACATTTGTTATTCTGATATTAAAGATTTTTATCAGAAAGATAGAGTTTCAAGCTGACATGTTATCATATTTCAACAAATTGTACCAGATGTTAGACTTTAGTTTACACGTGTACATGTGCAGATCATAAGACTATGTAATATGTGTCAGAGATTGGTGTATGGCTCTCTATTGCACAAACGACCTTTCTTGACCTCCCATGACCTCTGATCCTTTCACATTTCACATCAAACAAAGAGCTTGGGAAAAAACCTATGTACCGACCTAGTTATGGTAGTAGAAACGACTTTGTTTTCTCAAGAGCTCTACAGATACATTGACAATGGTATTATATCTATAGGGCCCGGTTGTTCTTCCGTATTTTATTGACAATTGCTCAAATATTTTTTTTCAAACTGAAAAAAAAATTCATTAGAAGTAAGACGAATTCAAAACGTTAAAAACTAACAATGACTGTCATTTTATACATTGTTTCAAACCGAAACGTTTCAGTGACGAATACCGTCGGGTTTAAACCCAAAGAGACTGAACACGCAACTCCCCAAGTTATATTCAAATGATAAAAATGTGTGTAAAACGGTTTTTAATGTTCAGACACTAGGATTATTAAAAAGTGCATTTGTTCCAGAATATCAATTTTATGCAGGTGTTAGACATCGTCAGAAAATGTTTGATTTACTGCTACCTGACAACTTTAAATTCAATCGAGTATTGGCGCAATTCTTGATAAGAATATTTAGTCGACTTAATTTTGGAAACATTCAATACATATGGAATTAAGCCTGTGCACCTTGTCAGTTATATCTTCAAATGCGAATTTGTTTCGTCTTCCCAAAATTTTTGACAATTTTAACTCTGAGCAATAATAACCAACCATAGAAGATAACATAAGTATTGTGTAATTTAATTCTGAATATTGTGTGTAATTTTTACTCCATTGAAAGGTGCTATTCGCTTGTATGTTTTATACAATCGATTATTGACTGCGATTTTTCAAAGGGAGTAAGATATTTAAAACATTTTTTAAGATAACAACTCCATATTTGCAAATTTGAACTCACAACAAAAAGTCGTTTGCAAGTCGTTGCATGTTATATTGTCTATTTCAAGTTAAGATTTTTTAGTCAAAGAAGGTAAATGTTTGATTAGGTAAATTAGAAAGGTAAAGGATGTTTTCACAATTCTGTCCGAGGAATAAGATTATTTCTACATTTTAACAAACGTATTAAAATATTTTAGAGCACTAGAACAAAAGGAAAGTAAGAATCCCATGAAACGATAGAAACAAGTAAGAGTTGTCTTTCCTCAAGTTATGTTCGTCTCCTCTCCACCATTTAACAAACTCTTTTCCGTTTCATGTATTTTTCACTTCTTTCGTTGATCATGTAAATCTTACAACGTGTATCTGTTCACATTGGAATAAACAATGTAAGATATGTCCAACGTCATATAAATAATTAATTCAATATACAAAAATATTTGCAACACTAAGGCCTTCTGTCTGTTGCTGAGTTCTTCATAAACTTGTTTAGCATCATTAAAAAGTAACTAATTTTCATTGATCTAAGCAATATGTATTCTGGTCTCATGCCGCTGTTATGTATAGGTGTAGATTCTTAGGTTCTCGAGGTCATCTGAAGCACGTTTGATCAGGCTGTTGTTAGCAAACCTGAAAACAGATATATGTATAAACATCAAATACAAAAACTTTACTTTTGACTCGAGTAAGCGATAAAGAGAACTTAAAAGATATGAGAAAAAATCGTTTAACTTTTCGTTTGTTTTTCCAAAAAAATAAACAAAGACGTCATACAGACTAGATCTAAAGAACAAGATACCGTCGGAAACAGAGGGGTGGCGAAAGGGAAACTTTATATTTTCTTAAATTGGATTAATTGTAGAGGCGGCGAGAATCATATAATCTATTACAAATAAAGATCCATATTTACTGGTTTATCATTTCTGCATCAACTACTTTCAATCAAAATATCATTCAACAAAATTGAATCCTTATTCATCTACAGACGATGTCTAATGTCTTGGAACTGTGTTCTGTTGAAATGAATACAGAACATTGTTATTAACACATGAAGGAATATGAAACAACAGCAGCACGGGCATATACATCAATATTCTTTAAAGGAGCGATTCTTTGCACAATTTTAGTTACAGATATATCGATCTTTATACAAGTAAATAGTATGAAAATCCTATGATGGTAACGTAAAATAAGATTCGGTACGTAATATATACCATTATATGAATACCAAATGGAAACATGTTTTGAATTTTATTCTACTAACCAGCCACGCAAGCAGTGATGAAACAAGCCATACAACCAGAAATGAGAGCACGGAAAGATACTTTGACAATGTCTTCCTTTCTAGAGGGTGCAACCGCCGTCAACGCTCCAATCATAATGCCTAGCGCTGTCACATTAGAAAATCCACACAAAGCGTATGTTGTTATAACCTCAGATCGGGCCTTAAATGACAAGTACATCCATCATGCTTTTCTCATATGTCTTTTGTTAGTCAGGGACAAAGATATTGACTAAAACAGGAAACACAAAAAAATTAACAATGAAAATAGCATATTTCTGGCATTAACGATTTGCAGTTTGTATCATCTTTTAAAAAGGCTATTTTCATACTCACTGACATAACACCGCCAATCAGAACAGTAGCGTTTCCGGGCGTGTCCATAATAATGTTTCCAATCTTGTCTAAGTGCCAAGTTCCGTTAAAATTCCGGAATTTCTCGCCATTCCTTATCACTTCACCCAGATCTTCATAGGCGAAAAATTCATTAATGAATGTTTTCATGCCCACCATTCTGGCAGCCACATGACAATCTGCTGGTTCCACACCCATCAAGAAGACAAGTGGCCATAATAGGTACGAGCATATTAACTATATATAGAACAAAGGAACATTGTGATATCATTATGTCAGACATACTAAATAAAACTGAGAACTATTAAAGAACATAGCTGGCCCACTGATAGAGAACATATGAAAGCAAAACAAAAAATGCAAATATGCAAACATCGTCATAATCCATAACTTGAATTCAATAGAATTAGGGCAAAATATAAGCAAGAAAAATATTTGCAAGAAATGTCTTAAAAGACAATAAGATCAGTTGTTCCGGAAGAGTTCGCGTCGGCGAAACTCGCCATTAAAAACGTGATTATTCCAATTTTGTAATGCCATGTTCACAAAATGAGAACATGATAAACAACAACTGAATCAACAAGTATAATAACGAGTATGAACCATGTCCTACTTCATATTTCATAATAAATATTTCCAAATGAGATAATTAAGACGATCATACAACTGTTGGTCTGTCAGTTATTGCCCATATCTTGTACAAGAATCGTGATACTGGGTATGGAATTACGGCCATTATTTCGTTGAAACTGTTTAAAGTTACTGAAATAAAGCTAGAAAACGTGTATCTCTAACGTGGTAAAATATTTTCTGTTGTAATCGTTTGAATTAACTTTGTGACCATGTTTCAACTTCTGTTCACATAAAACACATTGTTGGTGGATGGGAAACTCCATAATGTGGAATGTCTGTGATGTTTTGACATGTGATATCAAGATAAAGCCGATAAAGGTGTGAAGACAGTGATTATATACACAATTCACACCACAACGTTTAAAGAACACTAACTCGTCCTTTACCATGACTATTCTCTGGGTTAGACTGATAGTATGGAAAATTAATCTTTCCCAGCCGTTGTAAAACGTCAATATATTACAGCATTGTGAATCATTTCTGATAACAAATTTTCATTCTGTGAAAGTTTCTACCAGGGGATTGAATTTGTCTCATCGCATATTGTTCTAAACTTGTAATATCACATTGGGTGATAAGACGAACTAATATGAATAATATGCTATCTTAAATCGAAGGAAACATACACCTGATGGACGCTTGTAAATTGGTTTGGGATAAACGGAAATTTATCAGACCGGAGCACCTGTGGAATAAATGACCAGAAGTTTGGTAAAAACATCATGTGATTTATCGCAAGCTGGAGAATGATTAGTGTGGCGTATCTACTCTAAGGAATGTGTGGAGAAAGGAAATTATTATCCAATTTGTGTGGAGCTTTTTAAGATTATAATTGTGAAAATTAAGAGTACTTTTGTGAATCTGATGATGAATACAAGTGAAGTTTCCTGTCATATATAATTCTTATTTGAGTACATGGCATTTTGCAATAGTGTTTACATTTCGTGTTGCATGAAATATAACTCTTCTTCATATATTGGGCTTGTTTCATACAATGATTTTAATGGCCCCCTTTTTTTTTTTTTTTTTTAAAATTCAACAACTCATTGAGACGATTGAGAACAACCATATTTACAAGGTATCATAGTCATTATGTCTTTCAGGAAAATCTAGTAGAGTTAATTATGAAATGCTAGGGCCGCCTTAATACAAACCAAACGAGAGTAAATTAAGAGAAAACGTTATGAGTTTATAGCGGACCTAATATTTACCTGGAATGAAAGGACAGGGTAGTCAGGCGGGATGAGTCCCACGCGGTCACCTAGCCACTCAAGGGTAGCATTGCAGAATCCCAACAAGGAAAAGAAAGCCAACACGCTCACCAATATGTACGCGACAATAGATGTCGCTCCAATAGCACCTATAGACGCTGCATCTATGATATTTTGGCCATATCTACAAGAAACCAAATGTTATTAGCAATAGACATGTTAGCATAACGGATGGTCTCACGCATTTGTTCACTATTTGAGAGATTCATAACATAGCTATACTCTACATAATCTAAAGTTACACAAAAAAATTAATCACTTGTGTAATTTTATTATAAGCTTTACCCTTTCTTGTCCATGTTAACCTTTGATTTCCTAATCTTTTCGTCCGGATAAAAGAGCTTCGACAAGGCGAGAGCTGCTGGAGCCGACATGACAGATGCTGATAGCAGATGATTAGCAGGAGCCTGTTGATGTAAAAAGAAACCGAGATATCTAACACTGTAGAACTCAAGGAAAGGTCAAAGCCTAAAATAAACTGTTACTTTTTGGCCATGGAATGTCATGCTACATGAAGATAACTCGTGTCCTGCCTTAGTGAAACATTATGGTCATGAATAGTGATTAAAGATAGCAGATATACTATGATATTCACAATTCTGGTTAACTTTGTCTGGATGAAGCTCGTAAAATCAAATCATTTCCTTTTCAAGTAAAAGAATTAGACAAGATGTTTTTGTATCGGACAAAGGATATGATTATGTGTCGTTTTCTGACATTGTTAATGTAGACTGTATTTGTGTTGACGCGTGAAACAGCTCTTAAACATATCAAAGGAAAAGGGCAAGCTTAATGCATAAAGCAGTGAAGAATGAGAAAATAAAATAATGAAAAAAAGTATTTATAACTCTTGAAATTCTTATGTCGATGACCTGAGCGACAATACAAGAAAAACCAACATGTCAACATAATCAATCCAAACTCCAATTTGAATAAAAACAAGGACATATCAACAGAAGAAAGATTTACATGGAGACTTCTGGAAAAAGTACAATTATAATAAGACCAGGTGTTCCGGAAGAGTAAACAACTTAATCTTCATCGACGGCATCCGCCATGTAAATCTTGGTCAGGTAATGGTACGTCCTATTATAAAATCAAGGTACACAACAACAAAAGAAATAGAACATTTCTTAATGACATCACTATGGCAACCACAAAACCTCCCTACGCTCTGTAACAATTGATTAGCGGCTGATTTTAACCAACGTCATAGGTGCTTCGGCCGGATGGTAACCACGTTTCACAAAATTCAAACCTTCCAAAACACTACCATTGTGAGCTTTCATGCCATCATCGTAATGATCTTACTATTAACGTGATCTAAATGCTAAAAATGGGACATCCAACCAAATTACATAGCGTTGTTACTGCTTCACGATACAAAAAGTACTAGAGAAGACTTTGAAATGTTGTTCATTACAAAAGATATTTCTTATTAATTGAAAACGAAGTTAAAATTTTAAAATGCCTGTTTTCACTATATATTTATAACAATAATCCTATCACTCTTTAAAACTGTATCTTGTGTTGCCTGGTGACGAGAGAATTTAGCTAGTAGCTGTTCCGTATGTGCGCAAAGATGTACGATGACTACAGCAATGTTATTAAGTAACCATGCATTGTATCGTAGAATAAACTGAAAGTGTATTCAAGTGTCGGTGTTCTCGAAATGATTAATTTGTTGTTTGCGTGGAAATTGCTTCATAGTTCATTTCATTTGCATGAGGGTCACTTCCCTTCATCAATCTACTCAAGCAGTAAGATGAACAATCAATACGTAAAAGTGCAATGTGTCCAGAAGTCTTTTACCCTTAGTATGATAAATATTTTTGTTACCAAAGATTATCATACGGCTCATCAACATAGCACAAGTAATAAAGAAAAAGATGTAATAATTAGCTGTGTTGATACAATGACTGTTTTCTTTGTTACCATAGCCTGTATATGATTCTAGTAGATATGTACGCCACTTTATTCATGAAGACTCATGTTCATATTTCAATAACTGACACTTTTTGGCATCAATTCTTGACATCAAAGCCATAGAAGACAATGGAAGCGTGTTATTCTGATTGACAAGATTTAACGCAAAAACTGTCGGAGGAAAATGACACCAGACAGCAGTGAGGATCAAGAGACGAGGTGAATTAACCAATGCTTAGAATTTTCGATAGATAGGTGTATAGAACTGTTCAGATGCTAGTAAACGGTCTGGAAATCAATTAGATGTTTGCACTTTGCCTAAAAGACCTGAATAATTTGGCATTGGACACAATTCAGAGTACCAAGTCTTACCCCGTACATATGGTAGATAACAAGAGTGCTTCCTGACACAGTTGCAAATCCATTAGTCATAACGGTGTGTAGTTCAGGGAGTGTCATATCATCAAAGAATGGATGCAGAAACGTGGTTGTCTCCCCCTAAAATGTTAATATGTTCCAAAATAAAACAGTAGTTTGAAAATTTGGCAAGAACAGTGTTATACAACTCTAACATGTAGAAAATTCTACATAATAGGTATGGTTTCCTTTTTATTAATTAACTTTTGTTTCGATATATCTCTACAAGATAACTTACCCAACCGACGAAAATGTTAAATGCAGCGTGCAGAGATTCCATGGCGGAAATACCAAGACTATACTGCATAACAACGCCAAGTGCCCGGATGAGGATTTGGAGCCAGCCCAGGTAATACAGGATTGAAATAGAGGCGCTGAAGAAAATGATCACTGGTAGAACCTGTTAACAATATTATAGCTCATTCTCAATTATATGTCCTTCTGATACTCTTAATCTAATTATCTGGTTAATAAGTCTAAGCTAAAACTATATATAAATATGAGTTTAATAGTGTAGCGAATTATTGCGAAGATATCGTAGACTACAACACTGGTAAACTTATCAAAGTGAAAGTTTTTTTATTCATTTGCAGTAAAAATATTAAGCAGTGAAACGAATATCGTAAAGTATGTTTACAGTGATAATAGTGTTGTATTTTGATAATTTGGTTTTTAAAACGATAATGGTTTATCTTTTACTTAATACTGAATTCATTTATGTTTGACCGGAAGTAAGACAAAATTCAACACGAAATGAATTTCAACATGATATCTTGGACTTTCGTAGTCTTTATTTAACAATAGAGTTTTTTGTCGTTTTGAAGAAATTTCGCTATTGGACTACTTTGTTTTTGGCGGCGTTGTTGACGGCGTAATTTGGTTATTAATGTCCACATTATCAACGTTTTATGGTTGCTATGGTAATTCATTTGAGTATAACTGTGGAAATTGACCCGAAAACAAGTGATTCAGTGTGTTTCCTGATCATGGAAATAACTGGCTATTTAGGTGAAAATTACAAAAGTAAAAGCACCGTGACCCCCTCTTTTTCATCATGAAAAGTATCACAGAATTTTTTTCTATCCAAACATCTGAAAACCTTTAATACGAGATGATGGTCAAGAATAAGATTTAGTTCACTTTGGTACATTTCCAGGTTTTGGATGTTATGCAGTTAAAAGCAGTTAAAAAGTCTGTGATCCAGAAAAAAATAAGAACAATTTGTAAAAATAAATTATTTCCTATTACACATATTCTGACGTCTGTACTGAAAAAAAAATAGTTCAACAACATATATAATTGATTTGCTTTTAATCTATCAAACCTTTCAGAAAACAGTTTAACATTGGATTTTTTTTACTTAGGAGTTCATTCTTATTTACGTATTGACTAAGTTCCGTTAACACTTAAGTGTCATTTAGAATCAATACCCAACATGAAGTTTAGCGATGGGTTACTTGATACTGGTATTACCTGGTAATTCAATACCAGAAAAAAACATTGTTTGATGACATTGAAAAATATGTTGTTTTTACCAGAATTAATGTCACATTACAGCCTCTAGTATTTTCCTGAAAACAAAGAATGATTTTTTGAGGCTCTCTTATGACTGAATTTGTTTGTATTTTTCTAAAACGGTATAATGCAAATATCATCTGTTTCAAAATAAAACTTTGTTTATAGCCTTACAGTGAATGCAAATAGATGCTCTTTGTGGGCAGGTCCGAACACAAAATTGGCTCCAGTTTCAGAATGACCAAGGTATTCCGTTACTCGGTGTGCTAGCCAATCAAAAGCATCATATCCCCATGATGAGCGGAGAACAATTAGCGCAAAGATAATCTGTAAAAGAAGTCCCCAGAGCACAGGCCGCCACACCACCTACAAAATAAAAAATCTGTCCCCATATCATAGCATGCCATACTACCTATCCAATAGATTAGCCAGGATTGAGGCAAAATAATTGAAAAAGTAGACCCCCAAAGCAAAGGTTGTTCCGCTAACTATCGAATGAATACATCAATCATAGTTACATATGTTGTCAGCAATGTCTGTTATACATATTATTGTATTGCGTTCCGAGTTTAAATGTGCTAATAGTAACCATGGTAATACGGCTTCAATAACTTAGATCTGGATTTTTAACACTTATTCAATCCCATTTTCATTTCCTTTAACTTCGTTTAGAAAGTTCATAATTCAATTTAGAAGGACGAACGAAAGTGAGACAAAATTAAAGAGTCATGTTGCAGATTCCTGTGGAAGAAATATTAACAGAGCATGAGTACCCCAGACCTGGACAAACACATCTAGCCTATGGCTGTGGTAGGGTACAAGAAAGCGTTTATAGATTCACATCTAACGGAACAAATGTGTGTCTTATTTAAACAGATGATGTGTTTACAGTTATCGCGTCACCAATGCATTACTAGGACAAGAATAAAGATGCAATCTTGTCTATTCGTCATTTACCTGGCTACAAATCAGAAAGCAGTTAAGGATATTAAAGAAGACAAGGACATTATCAGTGACAATTACTTTAGATTGTAATAAAAGTAGATCGGAATAATTCAGTTAAGAGGGATGCAAAGCGCAGTAATGATTTGTAATATATTTGTTCTCAGATAATCTTTATAAAAGTATGAAAATTAAGCATTTTACCATACCTTTGCTGGATCTTTGGAGAAAAAGAACATAAGCATTATAAACACAAACATTCCAACAGCTGAGACGATGCTTGACGGAGATTTGATGAACACGTCGACCAAAACATATAAGAAAATAGCGAGAATCGCGAGGGTGCTAGCAAGCCTGAAATAAAATAAACAGACACTCTGTTATGCTGTTTTGTGCATGTCAAAACTTAGTCTGCAGTCTTATAGAATAAGTCAGAATTATGTTAATGTAGAATAATCCCTGGTTCATTAAAGTGAAATTTAATTGTTCGCCTATTAAACAATACTGCAAAGTTTTCATGAATTTTCGACGTTCATAAACCGTTATTTTAGTGATGAATATATCAAATAATGGCAATGAAAACAAAGAAGAAAATACTGACAGTTCAAGTTCAGCTGCGATAAAACTATGGCAAAGTATGGAAAAAGTAAGGAACAAGGAGAATTAGATCTGGTGTTTAGAAAAAGTAAGCGCACCTGCCATGTAAAGCGCGGTCTTTACAACTCATCAAACACCTTTTACTATATAGGGAGGGGAATTGGGGTATAATCTGACTAAAGAAGAAAACCAAAGCAAGACTATTCTTGAAAAAACTAGGAGAATAAGACCAGATATCTATATTCTACTTAATTTACGTCACCCGCAACCCAAGTTAGAGCGTATTAATGCTGTTTACTATAAATGCTAAATGACTGGGTTCTGACTTCGAACTATATATCACAATATTATAACATAGTTTCCAAATGAGATTTTTGGGACCATCTGCATCAAGAAACATCTAAATTAGTGGACTGCAAGTAAGAAGTTGTCAGAAAAAAGGTTGATGAAAAATTGCAATGTCTACATACATCTGTGTATCTTTCATATAAATGTAGTTCACCAGCTTGAAAGTAACATTACATTTACAATATATCTAGAAGACATTCGGCATATTAGAAATGAGGTTAATCAATAGATGTTTAGTAGTTTTCACGGCATGTCTAGCAAATTGAGAGCGGGACAAACAGGCCAAAGCCAGACGTACTGGAACGAATCTTACCGTTGAAAAAGTCGACGTCGTTTTCCAATTTGCCGTTTGATTCGTTTGAAACAACATGTAGACTGCAATGAAGAAGACACTGAAGGCCAAGACTTTTTCAAGACGAACTTGACGACAAATCCTGCGGATACGACAACGGTAACCACCATCAGGCGAACCGAACCTTCATCGCCAAACCTATACAACATGGCGTAGATAAAATACGCAAGGTAGCCTAATACTAGAATAACCGTGATAATTTGTTTAAATCTTGATTGGTTTTTTTGACAACAAGCATCACAGGACCTCCGAATCCGGATGATAACCCCGAGTGGTGATGAACATGGACCCGATCTGTCGTCGTTGATGCTGTTGCTTGTTTCCAAGTCGGCATCCTCGGTGTTAGAACAATTAACCTGCAAATAAATTACGTGTACTATTATAAACCTGTCTAATGGACATATCTCTCATCGCATAGACCAAAATCTGATCTGCAATTGACGCATTCACGTTAAAAAAATCGACCCTACCATTTAGCGGAACACATATAAATGCACAGAATTGGAATTATCATATCAACGGGTCATCTGCACCCTTTCAATCTTACATATCGGCTTTCAGTCTTATAAGTTAGGCCAAGACCACTAGTGATTAGGGTTTGAGGGTTTCAGTTTCCACTCAACACATAGTGTAAATATGCTTATTCTCAGTGGCTTGAGTGTCATGTTTCTTCATTTGCAATCTTCCTTGAATGTATGTTTTTCTTGCTATGAGCAGTTGCTCTATTGAACTTTGATTGGTACAAGTGATATACGCAAGGAATTCAATGCTCACCTTCCTCTTAAAATCAACAACAAACAACAAATCTTACATTTTCATTCACTTTTTCTTCGGGAGACATCAACCGATCAAGATGGTCATCAGTCCTGTCGTTGAGGCAATCCTTGGTGACCATCTCTACTGCCTTTTCCTGATTCATTTTTACTTTTATACCTGATTCCTAGCTGTTGTTAAAATGAGGTTAAACATATCAATGTGTGTAAATGTACCATTTGAATTTTGAGTTCCGCTTATAAGCTATGTTTTTAAGAGTTGAAAATATAAGTGACAGATATTATTGAAAAAAAAAATTTGGGTGTGGGTTTTCACCAGCGATAACGCTACGTGGTTCATTTAATGATGCTACACTATTTAAAGGTTTGAAAAAGATACAAGAACATTCATGAATATCAATGTCTGGATCAAAATGTTTAAAAGTTTCGGTACGTCGACAAGGACGGAAAAAGATGTTGAAATGGAACAAGAGATGTACAAACCGTATAGCTGCAGGAAATTGGTCAATATAGGATATTGGCTGAAATCAAACCCATTACATGCGTAATAATTGAATCTACAGTGGACCTGCAATAATCCAGACTATTTAGACCGGGAACGAAGTTGTCTGGATTATCGGGGGTCCACTCTATGTCACCAGAACTTTAAAATACAAAAAAAGTCGTACACAAAACATTAACGGAAATGAAGTAAACATCTTATACATGAGGTAAACATACCAGAACACTATGAAGAAGAACCTCTATATGATTTCGGCCCCAGTGCTCATGTATACTGTGTACAGTGTTCAGCCAGAATCTAGTAACTAACTGATGCTGATCTGACCTGTATAAAGGATACCGAGTTCAACTACTTACTATACTCTGACTGAGTAGAACGACTGCCAGGCAGTGGATGTCTTAAATACAAGTGTGTGCGTATGTTTACGCTTTACACAAACATTTCGTATTATTATACATTTTGGTTCTCACACGTTGTATACGGAATGGCTGATAACAGCGTTTGTTTACTGAATAAGAACTTCATTGAGAGCTGACCCCACGTCACCAGAGTAAAGGTTTCCATGCTATACATACCGACATGAAACCCCCATCTACGCCTCCATCCCCTCACATGTCTTTCAACTGTGTGTAGTTACTGCAAATTGCAATAGTTTAAGCACCCTACTTCAGCTCCTCGTCCTGTTTATGATAAATAGTACACAACGGACACTCAAGCATACGTCACTGTACTGTCAGCAATCTCGTAAGCATGGTATCTGTTTACAGTGTATGTAAAGTTTTGATTAGAATAGAGTTTTTCACAGTAAAAGTTAACACACTAGAGATCGGACGTTTTAGTTAGAAAAGTAATTAAAAGTTTGTATCTTGAGAAGTTGCTTAACGACTTAAAATGCTTTTATTTTATCAATTGGAGCAGACTCGTTTTGTACCTAAATGTGATGTTTTAGGAACTAAAAGTTGGATACCGAAAATTGAAGTGACCTATATTTTCAATATTTGTTACATCAAGGTTAATTCACAAAACATTCTGGTAGATATATGATGTTCGCTATCATTCATTGTGTGAAAAGCCCATTGTTTATATGTTGCTAATGCTGATTTAGTCTAAAACATTGTCATGTCTGTAGACGGACGATGTCTGTCCTATTTGTTTAGATATACATTTGAATATGGGAATGCAATAGTCAAAGGTTGTACAGAAATTGACAAGTTGGTTAGCTACATACAGGTAAAGTTTAAAACTAAGGAGAGAAGATGCATGAAAATGCTGATAACGACTCAGCAAATAAAACATTGGAAGCGTTTCTTCAAGACGTGATGAAAGTATATTGATGCTTTGGTTTTACAGTATAAACAAGCGCTATCTTCTTCGTTTACTGTATTTCTGTAGAAGTCACACATTGACTTCGTTATATCTACAAAGAGTCCTCGGAGGACGAGGCTGTTGTATTACTCAGGCTTTTTGTTTGTCTTCTCAATCACTTAATTCTTATTCAAATATGTTATCTCAAGCAGAATTATGAATTATACATTGAATAAATTATTTCAAATGAAAATAAATAAAACAATAAATAGCCAATTATGTAATTAATGTTTGATATATCGAAAATATTTGAAAATATGAAAATTAATTCTATGCTTGTGAAACATACGTTTCGATATTCGTCCGTATATATTACAAATTACAATTTGGGAACTGGTATATGATGTAAATTTTCGGATTTTCTAAATTCCAAATTAGAATTTTATTAACATGTACTATATACAAAGCTGGATATATTTATTTGCTTACCAGTTAGATACAAACAGGTATCAAAACTTCATTCAGTCACAATACTTACAAGTTTAATTAGTACTCTGTCTCTTTATTCTTACGCTTATAATAAGTATACTCTTTTCCGTACATTAACAGTACGTAACAAAAGAATCAATATTCCGTCATATCTACTAGTATAATAAGTATACTCTATGTTTGTTACTTATTAGTATAAAGTTTATACTCTATTTCTCCATACTTATTAGCATAACAATGATAATCTTTTTCCATATGTTTACTAGTAGAATTTGTATATTCTATTTCTGAATATTTACTAGTAGAATAAGTATATTCTATATCTGAATATTTACTAGTAGAATTTGTATAGTCTATTTCTGTATATTTACTAGTAGAATTAGTATATTCTATTTCTGAATATTTACTAGAAGAATTAGTATAGTCTATTTCTGAATATTCACTAGTGTAATTAGTATATTCTTTTTCTGAATATTTACTACTAGAATTAGAATAGTCTATTTCTGAATATTTACTAGCAGAATTAGTATAGTCTATTTCTGTATATTTACTAGTAGAATTAGTATAGTCTGTTTCTGAATATTTACTAGTAGAATTAGTATAGTCCATTTTCTGTATATCTACTAGTAGGATAAATATATTCTATATCTGAATATTTACTAGTAGAATTAGTATAGTCTATTTCTGAATAGTTACTAGTAGAATAAGTATAGTCTATTTCTGAATATTTACTAGAAGAATTAGTATAGTCTATTTCTGAATAGTTACTAGTAGAATAAATATATTCTATATCTGAATAGTTACTAGTAGAATTAGTATATTCTATTTCTGAATATTTACTAGTAGAATAAGTATAGTCTATTTCTGAATAGTTACTAGTAGAATTAGTATATTCTATTTCTGAACATTTACTAGTAGAATTAGTATATTTCTGTAAGCGATGCTTATTCGCAAAAGGAGACGCAAAACTTTGACGTTTTGACATAAATGCCAAATGACCCGTTAATCATTTAAGACATGATCAGCACATACCAAGCTTTCTTAATTGTTTACACCACTCACTCGTTGAATATTTCTAATTCTCGACATTTTCTGTCATAATTTTGAGAGATACGGGTTAGTGAATGTTATTGGGAAGTTTTACAGTCACCAACACGATCCTTGAGATAGATACTACATTTCATTCTGCGTATGTTCGAGTAAGCTTGATGATTTCTATTTGACGTGACATTTCGTGGGTCGGCATACATCCCAGGAAGCATAATGAATATGACATGTGTCGTCAATGAAGCAGAGGACACTTATCCCTAAGAAACAACTAGTCTTTTGGTATGTATACTTTTAAGTTATAAATCCTTCTATTGTCCATTATTTGCCCTTGTTTTATAAATAGGTTTCGAGGTATATTGTAAGAAGTTTGATTCAATTTTGTTGACATAACCTTATCATCTTGTTGATATTGTTACGTAACCAGTATACACGGAGTGTGTTGATCTGGTGTCTAAGGTAACTGCTTATAAAAGATACATACATTTTTTTCACATTGCTATCAAAAACCAAAACACTATCAATAGACTCTCACTGATATTGGTTTGTAAATCAATAAGAGATGAAGAAAATCATGTTTTGAAGAAGCAGCCATGTTTTAATTGTAAGGTATGTTTCATTGATTTAAAGAAACATACATCCACATTAATTCGTGTTAAATCATAGTTTGATTCATATATGTGAAGAGTTAGGTGTAATATTCCAGGAATTCTTCTGATTTCAAATACAGATATTTAGACAATTTTGCTCCAGAAGAGCTAGACAAGGATACGGCTTCATCGTAAGTACTACTTCTTCAAGGAATAAGTATTAAAACGACAATTGATAGGTAATGACGTATGTATTTGATCATATACTTATTCTACATTCATGTAAATAACCTGATATTGTCTATTTCTCACTGACTTAATAAGCAATAACACGCGATGTTAATGTCATGTAATGTAAATGGGTGAAACATATCGATTAAATACATATAGTCATAAAAGTGAAGGAGTAATGAGAATCTGATATTCTGAAGTATTAAATGGTATCGATCATTCCTTATAGAGATAGTCGACTCTTTAACACTTACCAAGGAATAACTGAAACGTAGGGTCGTTGTCTAGGGTCCGTGTTTGACACCTGTTACTTCACACGGTAAGTTAGATAGCTCGACTAGACACTGTTCATATCTTTATTGTAAGAATTAACTTAAGACCTACATCAGATTTAGCTGTTTTGAGCAGAATAATGAAAAGATAAGGCATATGTTGTAAATTATAAATATAGTCTATAGTAATTTATGGATGAATTTCGGAATATCAAATGTTTTAATATCTTATTATTGTTTATATTTACCGTCATACAGAACAATCTAGATAAACAACATAGATAAGCTTACCTATATGTTGTTGTAAGATTATCTATAGGTGTATTTATAGATATGGAATGATTTCTATATAGATACGTTTACCTTCATACATATATATATATACATTGCCAACCATGTATGCAAACCATTTATCATCCTATAAAAGTTATATCAACACGTGGATGACATGTTAAAGTTAGAGAGAGTACTGACAAAAGTCTTTGAAAGCAGTGGTTATCTATGTATTGCTAACTCTGTGGCAAAGTCGTGGTCTCATAACAGTATTGTTAGAGAGACATAAACAAGCAAGTTGTAGCTATCAACGCTGCCTGAAAAGAATTAAGGCAACGCAAAAAAAGGAAAAGAAATATCTATTTGTCTCTATCTCGAAGTTTTTCTAGTAGTTTTCAACGTATGTATGCAATTCTTCTTGATTTGTCTTGGTGTAT